AGCCCTACACAATCGCGGACAAACCCCCCCATCTCCACGATGCGAAGAGAGACACATCCCCCCCGTCAATCCCAAATGCTGCGTATACGCCTCTTCACCACGCGCATCGTCTACGTATTGCACTGCGCATGCACGCATTCGCTCCGTAGGACGTACCCCCTGGTGAAAGCAGCGAGCAATAACGCCAGACACTGCTTAGCTAGTCGCATCCCTAGGCCCCCGCAAAACAACCCCGCAACTCAACACGCTTCACGCATCCATCGTTAGTACCACTCTCCCAAATATTGCCTATACACCTCTACAACCCGCACCCATATCACGGATTATACTGCCAGTGTATGCTGCCGGTTCTCAGCACCTACCCGCTTGGCAAAGCAGCAATCGACCGCAGCGCCAGAGGACGCCTATACGCACCCCGCCCCTACACGATCGCGCACAGACTCTACCGCTCAGCGACGGGAGCAGATACACCTCCACCACAACAATCCCAAATGCTACGTATACGCACGCCTCTGCACCACGCGCATCGTCTACGTATTGCACTGGGCATGCACGCATTCGCTTCTTAGGACGTGACATCTGGGCAAAGCAGCGAGCAATCGCAACGCCAGACAGTGCGTCGTCAGCCCCATCCCTAGAATCCCGCGAAACAACCCCGCAACTCAACGAGCCCCACACATCCATCGCCAGTACCACTCTCCCGAATGTTGCCTATACGCCTCTACACCACTCACCCAAATCACGAACTACACTGCCATTGTATGTTGTCGGTTCTCAGAACCTACTGGCTGGGCAAAGCAGCAATCGACCGCAACATCACGGGCGGCCTACATGCACCGCGGCCCTACACGATCGTACACAAACTTCACCGCTCAGCGATGCGAACAGATACACCTCCCCCACATCAATCTCGAATGCTGCGTATACGTCTCTGCACCACGCGCATCGTCTATGCATTACACTGCGCATGCACGCATTCGCTTCTTAGGCCGTACCAACTGGGCAAAGCAACGAGCAACTGTAACGGCATACATTGCATTAGCTTCCTCCGTCCCTAGACCCCCGTAAAACAACCCCGCCAGTCAACAAGCTTCACGCATCTATCGCCAGTAACTCTCAAATGTTGCCTATACGCCTCTACACCACGCACCCAAATCACGGACTACACTGCGAGTATAGGCTTTCGG